TTATTCAGCTTTCAGATGATGTATAAATCTCAATTTCAAAAATTATGACTGGTTTTGTGGTCCAGGGTCACATATTATTTTATAAATTATATATGACATTGTTATAATGTTTTATTATTATTATTATGATTATTATTTGATTGTCGCCCTGGTCAATGTCGATCCCATTGAAAAGCCCATATTGCTTGAACATTTGCTATGTTTATGCATGTGTGTTTCTGAGAGAGTGGAACCATGGGATGCTTTGGGCTCGACACAAGCGTGCTGACAGCAGGGATGAGACTTGGAGTGAAAGCTCAAATTAGGCCCGTGAAAGACGCAGTCAGAGTGAAGGGGGGGGATGTGTGCATGTGATTGTGTGCTTGTGTGGATGAATTTATTCAGCAAAGCTCAATATTGTTTTAATTAATCTGGGCACAGGGGCCTGTGTGCTGAAAGTGACTCCTTTTCATCTAGGTTACGTATGACGGAGGAGGCTGGAAATTAGGCCACGACTTCTCTCAGCTGACAAAATTACACTAGCGAGCGCTAATCCTTCACATTGTCCAAACACAAAGCCGTATAGCCAGCAAGTTTAAGACAATGGCGTGCTAAATAGCCAGCGGCGTCTTGATTAGCATGTAGCGTTCTCCCCTCTCTAACATCAGACCTCACTTACTGTGATCTTGTCGTAATGAATTACAGCTGCTGTAACCATTTTTTGCTTTCAATCAGTGGTTTGCGAGAGATACTGGACTGGACGATGTGACGGGCGAGTTTAGCTTTGGTTTAGCCATAACAACCGATTTGAAGTGTTTTATGATGTCTTATTTGCTGTTGTTTGTGGTGTTTACTGTCTTGTTCGTTGCAGATCCGTTCGCGTCTGTCTAGGAATGGTAACCATAAGAAATTGGCCAGTTCTCGTTTCCACTTAATACATGTTTATACTGTAAGCAACCATGTCGACTTGAAGTTCTCTACACTGGAAGTGTCGAAGATGCCACCTAAGAATGTTCACTAACTAGTTATCGGCAAGTTATGGGCAACTGGAAAATGGGTGAATAACTTTTTTTGCCTGATGTAGACACGGTTTCATTTAGCATGTCTTGGCGCTGTTTTAGTAGCATTTATTAGAATAGAACTCCATATGTGTATCTTTAACTTGAGTCATGAGTCTTTCAAAAGAATCGACTCATGAGAATCATTCACTCACAAATCGGACTTTACTACTTGTGTGGATGTTGTTTGTAAGGGCATCGAATTTGATGTCTTATTTTATTGAGAGTTTTTGTTTAGCATTACACAGAAGAATGCTGATGTTCATGAACTAAGCATCATAAATTCATGAAAATCTGGTTTTCTGTAATATTCAATTGATTTCTAACCCTAATCCTGTCTTAGAGGCATATTATATTATATTATATTATATTATATTATATTATATAATTTTATATCATATCATATCATATT